ATGGGAACTTACAGAGGAAATCCTTGCATATATACAAAATATTGACACTACTCTACCATCAGTTTCGGATGAAAAGTTGCGAGAGATAAATCAAGAAACTATGAAAGATGAAACTCTAAAACATGTGTCACAGTATTGTGTGAAAGGTTGGCCAGAAAAATCTAAGATTCCAGAGGATGTATTGCCCTACTGGTATCATAGAGAAGATATAAGTGAGCAAAATGGTATACTTCTCTTTGGAAGTCGTATTATAATACCAAATTCTCTAAGAGCTAATGTACTAAGAAGTATTCATGAAGGACATCAAGGCATAACAAAGTGTAGATCTTTTGCAAAATTGACTGTGTGGTGGCCTCGTCTTTCTCAACAAATCAAAGAACTAATAGAAAATTGCAAGATATGTGCAGAAAATCGCGCTACGAGAGCAGAGCCGCTGATACCAACCCCTTATCCGGACAGACCTTGGCAAATAGTGGGTGCCGATTTGCTGAAGTGCAAAGGTCACTGGTATCTCTTAATCTCAGACTATTATTCCAGGTTTATGGAAATTGCTAGACTAAATGACTTAAAAATAAGCACTATTGTGACATATACAAAGTCCATCTTCGCACGTCATGGTGTACCTGAGACAGTAAGAGCAGACTGTGGTTCTCAATTTGACTGCTGTCAATTCAAACAACTTGGTCGTGATTATGGATTTAAATTGATTACATCAAGCCCAAAATTCCCACAAAGCAACGGCTTCATCGAAGCGCAAGTAAAAAAACTTTAAGTACTACTTAGAAAAAAGTGATGATCCCTAAAAATGCTACTTATGTTAAGAGCAACCCCTCTAGAAAATGGGAAAAGTCCAGCGGAATTACTTTTCGGGAGAAGGATCCGCAATTATGTTCCAATAATGTCTGATCAACTAAGACCCTATCTGGTAGACGCTGAAAAGTTAAGGGAAAAGGAAGAAGCAAGAATTGATCGTCAAAAGATTTATTTTGACAAAAGACATGGAGTCAAAGAATTGCCTACTCTACCTGATGGAGCTCAAGTCCATATAAAGGACAAGAATCAAGAAGGAACTATATTAAACAAACATCCTGCACCTCGATCCTATATAATTCAAACGCAAGATGGTTGTTTGCGGAGGAACAGAAGACCACTGCAAAGATTTAGCACTACTATGCCTTCTGATCACTCTCAACCAGTCCTTCAGAACACCTCAGAAGATCAGAACCTTTTGATCATCCTGCAATGGCATCGCAGACAATTCCTTTAGCGAATCTAAGAAGATCATCAAGACAATGCAAACCTACCCGGAGGTTCGATCTTTAAATGGGAGATGTGTTGTTATTCATATGTGTTTAAAAACATATGGTGTTAGAATATTATTTGTTTAGTTTTTGTTGGTAAACATTCTGGATCTTGATTTATTGTAAAAGCTACCTAATAAAGTATTTGTTTTATTAAAACTATATTTTAATTTAACTTACGGTAACACTACAGAGTACAGTAGACTCCCTCTTATCCGGACACTTTTTAACCGGACTACACTCGGCGGAAATGTCATCTCTTTAACAGGACAATTTTTATCAGCACATCGGTTTAACCGGACTAAATCGGCAGGAAGTGGGCGGTACTGAAACGACTGTTCTTGTGGGAAACATTAGAGGCCAGTGATCACGTGTCTAAATAAGTAATAATCATTATTTGCTTATACAGTATGCATTAAACAGTCCGTTTTAACAAGTTTTTGGGTACGTTATCCGGAATGGCCTCGGTCCCGAGGAGTCCGGATAAGAGGGAGTCTATTGTACTTAGGTTTGCTGCTGCAGGGAAGATAATAAGGTGATCAAGAAGAAAATTAAGAAAAGAAGTTAATTTAACTCAAATTTAGAAAACAATGTGAAACACAAAGAAGAAAAGAAATTCATGTGCGTCCCATAAAACAAAAATTTAAACAAAGCAATAAGGAAAACATTCAAACACACTCCAATCAAATTAAGTTACAGAACAAAAAATAACATTTTTTAAATTATACACAATAAAACCAACAATCCTACAACAAACAATGCAGCAAACATATACAACCTATCTGGTATCTACAAAATTAATTGCTCTGACTGTGACAAATACTACATTGGACAAACCTATCGAAATTTTAAAGTTAGATTCAACGAACACATACAAGCATATACATCGACGAACAAAACATCAATGAAATCAAATTTTGCAGATTATTTATTTAATTCCAAACATAAGTTTACTAATATTGAAGAAAACTTTACAATATTAGAAATTGAAAAAGACAGAGAAAAATTGAATGTAAAATAAGAAATTAATATTTATATGAACTACAAAAATAACAAATCAAATATTTTAAATACAATGATTTCAAAATTAAATAATCCAATATATGAAACAATAGCAAAATTGAGAAAATATTAATGAAAATAAGTACAAACATATCATCCTATACTCTAATACGAGCAATGTTTGCTTGTATGTATGTATGTATGTATGTATGCTTGCTTGCAGAAATATATCGAAAACGGCTCCGACGATTTTCTTCAAATGTTGTAAATAGTTTATTCCTGGCCTAAAAACAAGTTTACTGCAGTTAGCACTGCCAACAAAAATCTAATTACGTAGAAAAACAAAACTGAAAGTCACATTTTTTTAACATTAGTCTTATGGGTTGCTAAGTAGCCATGTTGATTGAATTAAATAACAAGGAACAAAATATCTATCCACAGTATACTAGCAAATTACAAATACAGTACAAAAGGAAAAACATCAGTTGTTACTATTGAGTAAAGATTATACTGAAGATTACTCGATACATTGTTGCAGGACTTTTTTTATCTATAATTATAGTAAAGGCTTGCAGTGTGGAGTGTGGGAACTGTTTATGACGATTAGATTAATTTATCTGCAATCCTAAAATGCTATTGGAAGGGAGGGAAACAGGTCCGCGACATAGAAGTGGTGAAGGAAGTAGTAAAGGCAAGCAGTCCGGAGTGTAGGAACTGTTGATGCCGATTAGATTAAGGTATCTGCAATCCTAAAATGCCACGGGAAGGGAGGGAAACAGGTCCGCGACGTAGGAAGTGGTAAAGGAAGTAGTAAAGGTGAGCAGTCTGGAGTGTGGGAACTGTTTATGACGATTAGATTAAGGTATCTGCAATCCTGATATGCTATGGAAAGGGAGAGAAACAGGTCCATGACGTAGGAAGTGGTGAAGGAAGTAGTAAAGGCGAGCAGTCTGGAGTGTGGGAACTGTTTATGACGATTAGATTAATTTATCTGCAATCCTAAAATGCTATTGGAAGGGAGGAAAACAGGTCCACGACGTAGGAAGTGGTGAAGGAAGTAGTAAAGGCGAGCTGTCCGGAGTGTGGGAACTGTTAATGAGGATTAGATTAAGTTATCTACAATCCTAAAATGCTATGGGAAAATGCGAGCAGCCCGGAGTGTGGGAACTGTTAATGACGATTAGATTAGGGTATCTGCAATCCTAAAATGCTGTTGGATGGGAGAGAAACTGGTCCGCCACGTAGGAAGTGGTGAAGGAAGTATTAAAGGTGAGCAGTCTGGAGTGTGGGAACTGTTATTGGGGATTAGATTAAGTTATATATAATCCTAAAATGCTAGGAGAAGGGAGGAAAACAGGTCCATGACGTAGGAAATGGTGAAGGAAGTAGTAAGGCTAGCAGTGCAGAGTGTGGGAACTGTCTGTGGCATTTATGTATCTGCAATTCTAAAATGGTATAGGGAAGGAGGGCAAACAGGTCCACGACGTAGGGAGTGGTGAAGGAAGTAGTGAAGGTGAGCAGTGTGGAGTTTGGGAGTGGATTAATGTATCTGCAATACTAAACTGCTTTCAGAGTAAACTAATGATTTTCCCCGAGCAAAGCTCGGTCCCCAGGTACTAGTATATAAATTAATCAATGAAGACAAAATTATGTTACCAGTTAGAAAAGTTTTATAATATCATATGTTATTTTTTTATTTACACATTTTATTTTGATTTTTTTTTACTTTGAAAATGGCCTTAGAGCGGAAACTAAAGTCAGAAAATGTTTTAATAAATAATTTTTACTTGGGTACTAAGTTTATTAATGTTTAATCTTTATTTATATATAGTAGCCCTATTATTCTATTTTTCATATATATATATGTCCGTTAGCGCAATAACTCGAGCAAAAATGATCCGATTTTCATGAAATTTGGTACAAAGGTGTAAACCTACGTTTATTCAAATGAGTTCGCAAAACAGTATAATCGGATGTTTATGGATGTATTTAGGAAATTTTGTTTATTTAATACTAAGCTATCTACACATAGCAATAAAAAAACACATCTCAATATCTTCCCTGTAGCAGCAAACCTAGGTACTCACTCAAATTAATGATAATTAAATAGGAAATAAATCTGATAATTTTTAGGGAATATATTAGTAGAAATCCAGCCAGGTTAATGGAAATTTGCTTAGTCTGCAGGTTTGCTGCGGCGAGGGTATTATTAATATAGACTAGCAGCCGGCACCACTTAGTGACTTCAAAATCTGTGATATATACATAGCTGAAGGGTGAAAACTATTATTTCTTATCATATCCTTATTATTTTCATTGCAGGCACGATCTCTTTGAGGCATCTTAGTAATAAAATTACAAATGCTAATGAAACATACTATGAAAACACAAAATCTCTTCTTTCAAATAACGTTACAATATATTACCTAAATTCCCTAAAACATCAATAAAACATAGCCTACTATGTAAACACACAATCCTATAAAAACACAAAATCCAACGTAAGACATTTTCACCTTCTATTTGAATCTATCAATTGAATCTATTTGAACGGATGGTGTTGTTGGCCTCTGGGGAGGTCTTAAAACAAAAATGTAAATCGGTCCAGGTCTTACCTAATGGTAATAGCTTATTCCCTATATGGTTAATTCGCTAAAAGCTAAATTAGTCTTTGGACAGAAAATAAGAATGACTTACAATTAAAATGAGTAAAAGAGCAGCCACCCATCTTGATTTCATAGGTTTAAATCTTTGAGATGGAAGTGTTCCTAGCACTGGCTGTAAGTATTCGGTTTCATCACCTATCATATTCCTGAAACAAAAAACACATGTTCGGTGCAAAATCAGTAAATTCAACACTTACAACTTGTATGTACTTCAACACTTATAACTTCAAACATTTATTGGAAGTACAGAAAAATACTATTTTCAAACAGGCCTGAAAGAATCTTACCAGAATATTTTTTAAAGGGCCTACATTTGATAAACCATACACTAGCATATTAAAGAGTTTTATACATACTTAAATTTTATGAGACTTTAATGTTCAGCCATGACAACGGGAGCATTCTTGCACTGCCCGTTTTTTTACAATTTCAACTTAAGATGAGCGCTGGGATTTAAAATCCTGCCAGTTGGTGCATCAGTTATACGGTTTTTGTTGGAGAAAACTTAAAACCAAAACTACTCCTCAAGTTTCAAGGACTTTGTTGTTTTTTAGCGAATTTCCCAAATAGGGGCACCTATTACCGTTGGAATATAAGGGGGGGAGGACCGTAGGTTTGATATACAGGGTTAGGCAAAAGTCTGGAACCCCCCAGTTAACTTTTTAACGCGTTGCAGTAGGAAAACCAAACTCGGCACATATTTACAACATAAGAAAATGCACCTTTTCATCAAAGTTACAACTTTACCCCAGCACCCAAAATAGGGTATTTTGGGGGCATCCCCAAATTTTCAAATGTAAACACCTATCATGTGACTCCTCATTTTAAAGGGTTTATCAAGAGAAATTGAATGGCGCAAACCAGAGGTCAATATCGCACCCCTAATCAAAATGGCAGCCATTTTAATTTAAGATGGGCAAGCAAGATAAAGTCTGGACATCCCCAGTTAACTTTATAACGTGTGGCAGTGGGAAAACCAAACTCGGCACATGTTTACAACATTAAAAATGCACTTTTTCATTAAAGTTAGAACTTGTACCCGGCCCCCAAAATGGTGTATTTTAGGGGCAGCCCCAAAATTTTCAAGTGTAAACTAAACACCAATCATGTGACCCCTCATTTTAAAGGGTTTCTCAAGACAAATTAAATGGCGCAAACTAGAGGTCAATATCGCACCCGTAATCAAAATGTCAGTCATTTTGAAATATCCCCCCTATTAACTTTTTAACAGGTTATAGCAGGAAAACTAAACTCAGCAATAAAATGAGAGAATTCACCTTTTGGTCAGTATTAAAATATTAAATTTTTAATGTTAACTGGGTAGTGCGGGGTGGTTTGTAAGTATTCAGACTCTGGCTCGATTGGAGTGTAAAAATTGATTTGTTGATTTTCCATGCTTAACAATACGTTTGTTAGTAAAAATCACCCTGTTGCCATTTTTTATCACCTCTTTTTACTTTCAAAATCTAATAGGGAAATCTATTAGATCAAAATCTAAGGTTTTACTTTTAAAACCTTATACTCCGTTCAAACAACCGTGGCACCTGAGGGATTAGGAGGCCCCAAGGGTTTCCATAGGTTGTCCTAATCCGTCAGGTGCCACGGCTGTTTGAACGGAGTATAACCTTGCCTCATAAAACCGCTACCTTCCTTAACCCTAGCAGTGGCCAACCGTCGTCTGGTGACGGTTTGACGTTGATGCTTAGAATGGCCAGCCGTCGTCTGGTGACGGTATGGGCCGAAATTATTTTAACGGTAAAAAAACACCTATTATCAACTCAGATAAGAATAATATATATACCATTCGAAAGATCACATTCTGAACTTTCGTTTTATTACATAAACAAACCCTGTGGCAGGTATATAACAATGTCACGACGATTAGGAATCAAATGAATTTTTGGCGCGGCACGACTTTAGCAGCCGACCCTTGGGAACTGGCAAAACACGTCTTGTTTGGCATTACCCCGCTCAGGTAATTTTTTAGGAATGTTTTTAGGAATGTGTTTTTAGGAATTTTTCTGGGAATGTTGCGGGTGGTACCACTGGATAGCCATTGATTTTATCTTCATTGTGGTAGTGATATTTTAGAACTAAATATTGATTGGACAACCGGTACGATTTTATGAAAACAGCTGTTTTCGAAATTTATAACAAATGACCAACCGTCGTCAGGTGACTGTATGGAAAATACAAATTACATACAGTGTAAGTTATTATTACTAGTCATATAATATGTCATTTTGAAGAGGAAGAAATGTAGCTTGTGATAGTGGCAGCCCTGCGCTCAGGGTTATTTTCGGTTTCTCTCACTAAGACGACGAAATTGTGTCACTACTGTCAAGCTCTCAATATCTCATACACGAAGTGCCTTGTATTCGCCATTGCGTCGCCATTGGGTGTTGTTGCCGGTGAGTTTTCGCTCTCGTTTTATCCGCGATTGATTACTAAATTTGTTATTATTTCGTATTTTTTTGAGAAATGTGTATCTATATATATAAAAGGCAAAGCCCTCACTGACTGACTGACTGACTAACGGACTGACTCACTCACTCACTCACTCATCACTAATTCTCCCACTTCCCACTTACCTAAGAGGCTGAAATTCGGCACACTGATTCTTTAGGCATTAAATAGGAAAACTAAGTGGTTTTTATTCTGATCGGACTCTCGGGCTCCGCCCCAGTGGCTCTAGAGTTTCCCATGTTAACCTAATGAGTACTCATATTTAAATGGAATTAATGAATCATAACAGCTGTTTCAATTAAACAAGTTGGTTCTGTTCTATGATGTTCAATAGCATTAAAGTTACAAGGATTACCAACAGAGTGCAGCACTATTATTTTTTTAATATTTGACAACAGCTAATTTGAAACCAAAAGGTGAGTGAGCGTAGCGAACGAACTTCAACCCGGAGGCGAGGTACCGTAGCGAACGAGCTAACCTGAAGGCAATTGAGCGCAGCGAACGAGCTCCAACCGTAAAGGTGAGTGAGCGTAGCGAACGAACTTCAACCAGGACGTGTGAGCGCAGCGAACGAGCTCCAACCTAAAGGTGAGTGAGCGTAGCGAACGAACTTCAACCAGGACGTGATTGAGCCATGCGAACGAGCTCACATATGAAGTTAAATGGGGCAAAGCCCGCGGGTACAGCTAGTGTGTATATAACAGTAATCTTCATGTATTTTATTATGCATGAATATTTACTGAATAGTGTCAAATTGTGTTTATAAAAGGTTGTATTTTTCTTTTGGTTGTATTATGAGGTTTTCCGTTTATTTATATTATTATGCCCCTAGCACGTGAAAACAAAAATTTTTACCCAACATGTTATACATTTTTATGTAGGTAATTGAATACACTACAAGATGTTTATGTTGGTTTGAAGTAAAAACATTTGGTACACAAGTTTTATACTAAATACAATGATTTTTTTTCTCACAAAATCGCTAAAATACAAAAACATTATTTTATTTATAAATAAAAAATATTTTTACCATAAACTTTATGACTTTTTTTGATTACTTACTTCATTAGCTTTACAAACATGTATATACCATTATTAGTATACACATATATTATATAACTTTTTACAACAGAAACTAACACTGTACGGTATTCAATTTTTTCGGTTCTCCGTTTGTTATTATATTTCGCCCCAAAAATGTATAAAAAAAAATATTTTCCTAACATGTTATATTTTTCTATGTAGGGAATTAGATTGTCTACACAATGTTTATAATGAATTTCCCATAAAAAATCTGTAGAAAAAAAATACCGCGGCCGCTTTTGAAATTTCCAAAAAAATTTTTTTTTTTTTTTCACTTTGCCGAAAAAATACACTATCTAAATCATTATTATATTACTATTTCTAGATTCTCCTGTTCTTTCCGAACAAAATTAATATGAGGTTGGCTAGGTTTACTTGTACAGTTGAATTTTTGCGAATTTTCAAAAAAAGGTCTGCAAAATCGCCCATATGGGTTGGCCATTTCCCACTTCTAACATTGGCTACTGCTAGGGTTAACATCGCTACCTTCCGTAGCAAAATATAATAATTTATTGCATAGAAAATGCCATAAAACTATTATTTTCTTAAAGATGAGATCATAACCTTTATTTTCATATATAAAATACCCCCACCACAGCAAACCTGCCGACTTCGTGAATTTCCATTTGTCTGAATTAATTTTTAATTAAATCAATTTAAAAAACATTATATTTAATGAGTACGGTACCTAGGTTTGCTTATACAAGGAAACTAATAGAGTATTTTTTTGTAAAATATTAATAGCTTAGTATGAAATAAATAAATTTGCCAAGTTTGCTCAAAATATAACCATAAACAAGCAAACTAAAACATTTTACAATATTCTCCGTAAGAATAACATGGGAATTTTAAGTTTACAATTTTTTGAACTTTCTCATTTACCAATAGCCGTACAAAAACACTTTGATATACTAAATTATTTGTTTTTTAAGCTCTTTAATAAGGTCTAGAGAGAAATCGGAAAATTCTTTGTTTTGAGGGTCAAAAATGAGAAAACTATTTTTAACCCCATAAAACCCCTCGTAAAACCCCGTTCCCATGGTCCGATCATTCTGGTTCGCGAACTCATTCAAGTTTACCCTGCCTTACACCTTAAAAACAAATTTGATCAAAATCGGACAAAAATTAGTCAAGTTATCACCGTGCAACCTGTGCTGTTTGGTATTTTTATAATTGTTATCATATGTTGCATATTTGATGTTTGTTTTTATTGTATTGTTGTTTTGAGCTTGAAGACTTACTTTTGGGATCTTGGCTAATAAAGTATCTATGTTTAACTGTGGTGTGAGTTTTACCTTTCACTTCATGGTGTCAGGTTAAATAAACTTTTGTGGAGAAGAAAGAACTAAGAATGGCTGAAGCAGTGAGTAGTACAGTTAGTACAGTTCAATACCAACTTGTCACACCTGAACCTTTCAATTTCAGGGAACCTTCTGAATGGCCTAGATGGATAAGAAAATTTGAAAGGTTTAGATTAGCTTCAGGATTAGACAGTAAGAGTGGGGAAAATCAAGTTAATATGCTTTCCCACATAGCACAGAATATTTATTTGATATCAAATAAACGTTCAATATATCAAACTATGTCAAATCAAAAA